TTCCCAATTTCTGCCTCCACTTTCCACCACTCCAATGACAGAAAACCGTTGAATTCAAATCTGAGATACCAGGCGCACAGAAATCAGCAGAAGGTCGCTGCTTTTTTTAAATTCTCTTTTTTCTTGTTTCTCTTTGTATTTCGTTGCTCTCTTTCTTCGCTCTCATTTTTCCCATTTTCTGCCTCCACTTTCCACCACTCAAATGGCAGAAAACCGTTAAATTCAAATCTGAGATACCAGGCGCACAGAAATCAGCAGAAGGTCGCTGCTTTTTTTAAATTCTCTTTTTTCTTGTTTCTCTTTGTATTTCGTTGCTCTCTTTCTTCGCTCTAATTTTTCCCATTTTCTGCCTCCACTTTCCACCGCTCAAATGGCAGAAAACCGTTGAATTCAAATCTGAGATACCAGGCGCACAGAAAACAGCAGAAGGTCGCTGCTTTTTTTAAATTCTCTTTTTTCTTGTTTCTCTTTGTATTTCGTTGCTCTCTTTCTTCGCTCTCATTTTTCCCATTTTTCTGCCTCCACTTTCCACCGCTCAAATGAGAAAAATGAAAGCGAAGAAAGAGAGCAACGAAATACAAAGAAAACGAAGAAAAAAAGGCGCACAGAAATCAGCAGAAGGTCGCTGTTTTTTAAATTCTCTTTTTTCTTGTTTCTCTTTGTATTTCGTTGCTCTCTTTCTTCGCTCTCATTTTTCCCATTTTCTGCCATTCCACTGACACTCAATGGCAGAAAACCGTTGGGAAAAATGAGAGCGCAGAAATAGCAGAAGGTAACTGCTTTTTTTAAAATTTTTCAAGTTCTCTTGTATTTCATTGCTCTCTTCTGCTGATCTCTGTGCCCAATTTCTTCACTTCTCCACTTCCACCGGTGGAATGGACAGAAAACCATTGAATTCAAATCTGAGATACCAGGCGAAAACAGAAATCAGCAGAAGGTAGCTGCTTTTTTTAAATTCTCTTTTTTCTTGTTTCTTTGTATTTCGTTGCTCTCTTTCTTCGATTTGAATTTAACGGTTTTCTGCCATTGGAGTTGTGGAAAGTGGAGGCAGAAAATGGGAAAAATGAGAGCGAAGAAAGAGAGCAACGAAATACAAAGAGAAACAAGAAAAAAAGAGTTTGGCGACCTTCTGCTGATTTCTGTGCGCCTGGTATCTCAGATTTGAATTTAACGGTTTTCCGCTCTTTGAGTGGTGGAAATTGGAGGCGGAAAATGGAAAATGAGAGCGAGAAAGAGAGCAACGAAATACAAAGAGAAACAAGAAAAAAAAGAATTTAAAAAAAGCAGCTACCTTCTGCTGATTTCTGTGCGCCTGGTCTCAGATTTGAATTCAACGGTTTTCTGCCATTGAGGGTGGAAAGTGGAGGCAGAAAATGAGAAAAATGAAAGCGAAGAAAGAGAGCAACGAAATACAAAGAAAAACAAGAAAAAAAGAGAATTAAAAAAAGCAGCGACCTTCTGCTGATTTCTGTGCGCCTGGTATCTCAGATTTGAATTTAACGGTTTTCTGCCATTGTGGTGGTGGAAAGTGGAGGCAGAAAATGGGAAAAATGAGAGCGAAGAAAGAGAGCAACGAAATACAAAGAGAAACAAGAAAAAAAGAGAATTAAAAAAAAGCAGCGACCTTCTGCTGATTTCTGTGCGCCTGGTATCTCAGATTTGAATTTAACGGTTTTCTGCCATTTGAGTGGTGGAAAGTGGAGGCAGAAAATGGGAAAAATGAGAGCGTAAAAAGAGAGCAACGAAATACGAAAAGAAACAAGAAAAAAAGAGAACTTAAAAAAAGCAGCGACCTTCTGCTGATTTCTGTGCGCCTGGTATCTCAGATTTGAATTCAACGGTTTTCTGCCATTGTGGTGGTGGAAAGTGGAGGCAGAAAATGGGAAAAATGAGAGCGAAGAAAGAGAGCAACGAAATACAAAGAGAAACAAGAAGAAAAGATAATTTAAAAAAAGCAGCGACCTTCTGCTGATTTCTGTGCGCCTGGTATCTCAGATTTGAATTTAACGGTTTTCTGCCATTTGAGTGGTGGAAAGTGGAGGCGGAAAATGGTAAAAATGAGAGCGAAGAAAGAGAGCAACGAAATACAAAGAGAAACAAGAAAAAAAGAAAATTTAAAAAAAGCAGCTACCTTCTGCTGATTTCTGTGCGCCTGGTATCTCAGACTTGAATTTAACGGTTTTCTGCCATTGGAGTGGTGGAAAGTGGAGGCAGAAAATGATAAAAATGAGAGCGAAAAAAGAGAGCAACGAAATACAAAGAGAAACAAGAAAAAAAGAGAATTTAAAAAAAGCAGCGACCTTCTGCTGATTTCTGTGCGCCTGCTCTCTCAGATTTGAATTCAACGGTTTTCTGCCATTGTGGTGGTGTAAAGTGGAGGCAGAAAATGGGAAAAATGAGAGCGAAGAAAGAGAGCAACGAAATACAAAGAGAAACAAGAAAAAATAGAATTTAAAAAAAGCAGCGACCTTCTGCTGATTTCTGTGCGCCTGGTATCTCAGATTTGAATTTAACGCTTTTCTGTCATTTGAGTGGTGAAAGTGTAGGCAGAAAATGAGAGAAATTATATCGAAAAAATAGCTGAAAATTAATTTCTTCATTCTGGTTATAATTATGATCCGATATGGTCATTCTCTACGATACTGCGTTTTCAGTTTTATCGTATCTTTAAAATTGTACGTGCCACCGATTTCCGTTCTTTGTGTAGGCGGAAGGGGGCGGGCGACATTTTGAAATACACTTGTAGCAGTGGGATATCACATGAGTCTGAAAACCAAATTTGGTTGCTCTTGCTCTTATAGTCTCTGAGATCTAGGCGCTCAACAAGACGGACAGACAGACAGACAGACAGACAGACAGACAGACGGACAACAGACATGGCTCTATTGACTCGGCTATTGATGCTGATAAAGCATATATATACTTAATGGGGTCGGAAACTTTTCCTTATCTGCGTTACACACATCCACTTTTACCACAAATACAATATACCCCTTAACTCTTTTTGAGTACGGAAATAAAAACCAATTTCGGTTCAAGCGGCCAAAAATTGTAGAACCCACACAAGCACAGTATGTGAGAATACATGGCACACACACATTTACGTAAACACAAGCAAAGTCGGTTATATATATTTTGGAGTGTTACACGTACACACAAACATACATGCTTGCTGTCCGTCGGCTCGTGTCACATCAAGAGCCGAACGCGGTCGCTCCCAGAGCAGCATGCTGCTAGCAATTTAACATGTTGCCATCTCTACGAGAAATTATGGAGAATGTTAATTGCTATGGCGATGAATATCGACCATCTCTGGTACGTATGAGAAATTACTTAGTTCCCTAGTTCAAAAAGTTCATTTTGAGAACTGAACAATTGCACAGTTCGATAAACATACAATTTTTTTTGAAAATCTGGTATATTTTGGTATTTGTTTGGCAAATTGCAGACGGAAAGCGGGAAAATTTCGTGAATTAGGCATATTAATTTACTATTTAATATATTTTATACAGATAATAAGGAATATTTATAATTTTTATAAAATTTAATACAGATAATAAGGCACATTTATAATTATTAAGTTATATGAAGCTGTTAAATGGTGTCAGCGTGTAATTGCTGCGAATATGGGAGTGTTTAACAACAATATAATCGCAACAATGCGGGTATAATTGGTCATCCTTTAGTTCTGCCATTTGGTCAGCCAGCGTAGTTGCGTACTGTCATGTGCTTCTTCAGGATGCGGCCCATCATTTCAATTTGGAGTTAATGCGGGAAACATTTAGTGCAGATCTGTTCGGCGTTGAGAAGACCTTCTCCACCATCTTCCGGATAACCTCCACCTCGTTCCTATTTCCATCGTCAGTCGGCGTCCCTGAGAATACCTCTGCCCAATTAAGGGCAGTATAGTAAGGGCGAATAACTTCTGTACCGTTGCATCGGTGTTCGGGTGTAATGCAGCAACATTAGTAATATTATAGGCTGTTTACATTGGGACTGCGTCATGCTTCTTTGCGTCTTGGCGAAGACGCAGTTTTTTTTACATAGGTTAAGCATAGGGCCCTAGTGGTGGCAAAAAGTTGCGTCGGTCTCTGATTCATGTGCGTCTATTCGATATATTCGATTGCTTTTGCGCTTAACTGCACATTTTTGCACTTTTCTGCCTATCAGCGCAACTATCACCTCTAAGAACAACAAAAACTTGTAGTTAAAAAATCAAATTTTGGCGCTAAAATGAATGGTTGTGCAAAAAGGTGAAAATATACATAAAATCAGGAAATAAAATACTTGAAACTGATTGTATTATTATCATACAACCTTTGTGTGATCCCCTGATGCCATTATGACACTGCTGGAGACGAACTTCGATGGTTTTCATAATTTTAAGAAGAACTCCCACAAGCTCTACAAAGAAATGTCTGAAAATAATAAATAAATATAAGAATCAATTCTCTTTCGTCCATTTTCTTGTCGTCTTGCATAATTCTGTTGATTTCCCAAAATTTGTTTACTTTCCTTGTCATCAAGCACCCAAAACAAAATTCAAGACGCACGTCTGCCAATGTAAACGCCTTTTCTGCTTCATTGCGTCTATTCCGATATCGATAGCAGACGCACCCAGTGTAAAAAGGCTATCAAACTGAATATCAAAATTGACGAATTTCATATCACAAAATATCACGGTATGGCAGCCCGCAGCAACTACGAATTGCACGAGTCTGGCAGCGCCACAAAACGACGACAAATTCGTTTTATGCTGTTTTTGTTTGAACCTTAATATGTAAATAATAAAAAAAAAAGGACTTCTGAAAACTTGCCAATCTCTTTAAAAATGTATGTATCTATCGGATAAAATTATTTGTTTAGGGCTGAGAGTCCCAGCTAGCTGGTAATATTAAACGGAATATCAAAATCGAGGAATATCAACGCATCTTGTCGAGTCCGATAGTATATTTACGCTATATTTTGATAAATACAAGGTATATTTCGGAGGATCACACGGTATATTTGATCCATAAATCCGCGGTCACACTTCGCCCCGCCGCGAAATAATATCAGAAATTAGCTCGATTTCGAGAAAAAGCGTCAACAAAGGGATCAAGGCAAGGCAGTAGACTTGAGACCGGATAGACTCCAAGTCGGGAGATTAACAGAGGGACAAACGAGATTCCAAACAGTCGACTCGTAGTGCACACACCAGTGTGTGCAATTAAATGGCAAATGGGAGCAACGGCAGTGCTAACGATGCGACAACGGCTACCCAGGAGGAGCAACAAGCGCCACAGAAGGAGCAGCAGTCCCACCTGACGGGAGTGGGACGCGGCAAGGAGCCGTGCTCGTCAACATCCAAGGGAGTGAACGACCTGGTGGCAGACCTCTGTCTGAATGTGAGTCTGTCAGGCAGTGGCAGTGGCAGCCACCGCAATGACGGCGGCTACGGTGACTACACAAATATGCGGGCCAGCACATCCACCGGGGGCACAACGGCTGTCACTGGAAGCTCCTCCTCGTCTTCGTTCTCCTTCAAGCACTTTCTCAACAGTAGTGGCACTGTGACCGCGCCCACGAGCACAGTTACCTCCGTGGATGCCACAGCCGCAGTGCAGACATCGACGGGAGCCCGGCCCAAGGTGCCGCAGTCGGCCTCGGGCTCGCTCATGCAGCCACCGGACGCAAACGGGAGCAGTGCCTCCTCCAAAATGAAGCGCTCTCCGCGCTTCAGTTCCTTTGACTCGCAGGCGAGTCTGGCCGAGTATGCGGCCTGTGGAGGAGGAGCTGCAGCACCCAGCAGCAGCGGATGCCGTCAGCGCCCGGATCTGCGGCTGGGCCATGACGATGTTCATGCCCTTGACAATGACGACGACGATCACGTATCTCTGGCCCAGGTGCGCAACAACAAGCTCTTCGACGAGCGGATAGACGATGGTGAGTCGATCTCAAGTGAAAACCAAAAATGATACCCAACAGAGGGATTTTTCCATCCAATTCTCCAACCGAACAGACATCTTTCCGTCGGCATCCTCCAATTTGGATTCAAGCAGTTCCAGCTCGCGGTACGTGCCACGCTCCTACTCCAGCTACGACATGCCGCCCCATGTACCATGTCCCTCATCCTCGCCTCGACGACGACCGGCCGGAAATCGGGATTTGCGCCCCAACCGGTTGGTTCTGACAGCTGCTCCCAAAATGAAGCTGGACCTGCCCCTGGATACATCAAATATGACAGGAGCCGGACCTGGTGGTGGAGGGGGAGCAGCAGCTGCATTGCCAGACTTTGTGCAGGACCACTTGCCGGATGCATGGTGCGCCGTACAGGATGCACACCTGCGCTCGCCACCCAACTCTCCGTTGGGCGCTGCCGAGGCTCCTAGCGGCGCAATGGGTGGTGGCCTGCTGCCATCGGCGCTTGCCTCCCTTGGCCTGCCTGGTGTTGCTTCCCTGCCCGGTCCGGTGCCCGGTGGATTGTCTGCCGAGTCCGGTCCAGGGCCGTCCGCTGGTTCCACCGCCAAAATGCTGCCCGACTTCCTCTCCGATGGCCCCATCATTCACTCGTCCCAGCGCCTGGCCGATGTGGCCATTGGGCTGCCCTCCAATTCCATTGACTCGCCGCCCCAGGAAGCGGCCGGCCCGTTGCAGCTATCGACGATGCGTGAGGAGAACGAACGACTGCAGCGTGAGCTGCAAGAGACTCGAGCGGAGCTGAACGCCCAGACCAGGCGAGCTCACGACTTTGAGCAACAGCTCCTTCAGCTCTCGGAGGCATCGCGCCGGCGGGAAACGCTGGCCACGACGGCCAACACCCAGAACACGCAGCGTTTGCGACGCCAGGTGGCCCAGTTGGAGGTGAGTCTCAGATATGTGTATAACTACAAACCATCTATTACCCATGCCGTTGCTCCTTTTCAGGCGGAACTCTTTGCTTTGCGTGGTGGCACGGATGGCGCCATGGGAGGTGCTACCGTTGTGACTCCTGGTGGCTCCAGTGGCACGGGCAGCAGCGGGAGCAGCACAACGCGTCCGTCCAGAACGCATCAGGTGTCGCGGGACCTGAGAAGTGCCGCCGACAATGCTGAACAGAATTTGAGGTGAGTGGAGTGCCTGGCCGCCTGCCCTTTAAATAATTCCCTCTGCTTCTGCAGGCAACTTCTCACTGGCGTGGACAATCTGCGCCAAATTGCGGCCAGCCTCGAGCAGTCAACAGCCCCGTCAACAGCCACGTCAACAGCCACGCCAAGAAGCCCAGATCTGTATCCCGAATTCAACTGAGCAACCACCGCGGTAGCAGCAGCAGAAGATTGGACAGATTGGGGAACTCGGACAGAGCAGCAGCTGCTCCTCCAGTTTCGGTTATTGTTGTTTGTGTAATCATTGTAGGCCCCGGATGCCGCCTAGAGCTTGTTTATAGAGAACGCCCGCCCCCGCGCGTATATTTTATGTTTCTCGTCGTCTCGTATATTTGTTGCAAAGGTTTGCGTTAGGTCGGGTAAGGGGTAAGGGTAGAGAGGATGGACAATGTGAGAATCAAAGCGCAAACTCGTGATGTTGATTGATAAAGGAAAATACATGCATATATTATATTATTACACTATAAACCGATGTATTGTAGCATATTGGTAGAAAAGTCACACAGAATATCAAAAAGAAAGAAAAGAAGAGCAAATGTAAATGCAAATTAAAGCCGAATGTTAATTCCAATCACAGAACACAACCTCTGCACATTGCAAGCCAGAATTGAGCGATCACCCAAAAGGGATCCCAGCCGATCCGATGGCGAGGAGATATATTTTTTGTTAGAAACAAAATGAAAAAGAAGGAATACCTGTGCGCACTTCTGTTTTTGGTGCTGTCTGAGTACACAGCGAACAAGAATTGAAATAAACAAAAACAAAATCTGAAACAAAAGTGAGAGCTTTCCACAGAAAACCTTGACATTGTAGGAAGCGGCCCTCTCTCAACTCAAAGACAGATAACACCAGTCAGCCGAAGCGCTTATCACGGCCGATCGCAACCGAACCGATGGCAGTGGGCAACCTCCACTGTTCAGTTGCTTCGTCGACGTCGTTACGCGCGGACGCGTTTTTCAGCTTTGGCTTCGTGTGAGATCGACACCGGCATTGAGATCAGTCAGAGCAGCTTCTGTTGCGGATCATATCAGGAAATCAGGAAATAAAAGTGCTGCAAACCAGGAACTGTAATAAATATGATGTCCAAGCGTTTGTTGGGTGAGTGTTGTTGTCCTCGACGACAGGCAGGGATCAGGTTAATCGCTTCAGCTGATTTCTGACGTCAGCTGCAAAAGATTGTGTTCTAATCTCCTGTGATCAGTTTGAATGCTTCAAATTATAATGCTAGATGAACCCATTCATTCATCCTCGAACCTCACTCTCACTCATTCGAACCGAGTCATCATCTGATCACGGATCTGGCTCACCTCTGCGTACAACTTATCTATGGCTGCTGTCCCCCAATCATGCTTTTATCACGCACCGACTCGCGTGTCCCCATCGAGCCGGTGGCCAAATATATGTATGAGTGTGTGTTGATAAGGCGAGAGTCGATAATTCGGCAGGTGGCGGGAGCGGCTTTGCTCCCAAGGTGCCATACACTGATTATTTGAGTGGCCTAGGCTGTCCGCAGGGGGCCAGGCCAGACCAGGCCAAGCGCTTATCATCTCAAATGGGGGCAAGTCGTAAGACTATTTATAGTACATTCAATTATGCTTCCAACTGCGCATTAGAGGAGGACTACTGCCTGAGGAATGGGAAGGCGAATGGGAATACCCACCCTCCTCTGCAGGTAGGAATATATTTTATTTTAGATGTACTCCGATGCCATTGACCTGTTGAAAGTCTGTTCAGGTTGCTCGATTCTCTGTTCCTATAGGAAACAATACTCATTCATATGTGGACAAGTGCAGTTTCAGCTGGTAGACTTTGCATAGCAAATTGCGCCTCACGTCAATTAATTCTATATAATATATGTATATGTAGTACAGTACTAGCCCGCTGGAAAGGACACACGGAAGAGATCTGGCCTTGGGATCCTTGATTGGATCATTCCTAGAAGAAATGGTCAAGGGAAATAGAAAATTGTGTGGGAAATTAGGGCATAGAAAATAAAAATTAATGTTTTATTCGTCAGGCTGAGCTTTCACTGTGCTCGCATCGCATTTCATAGATTCCCACACACACACACACATACGTACAATACGTGTTTGGTTCCAGGCGACCTCGCACTTGAATTCCGCTTGTCGGCTGCTCCGACCACATGAATTTGCATTTCATCAGGTTCGAGCCGACAGGGGCGTAGCAGTGGCAGAGGGTCACGTGTTCTGATAGGAGGGAGCATCTTGATCCCAGGCCACGTAAATATTAATGCGAAACGTGTCCGTTCTGTCTTGCAGCCCACACGAGGCGGATTCTGCCGCGCTCTTCACCGATTCGCTGCAGCTCAAGCACCACCCTCCACTCCAAGGCGGCTCCGGCCGTGATGAACCTCGTGCAGAACGAGATGCCCGAGACGGGGCACCGGCCCAGTGGCTACGTGGGACCCAGCTACGAGCAGATCCTTGAAACGCGCAAGACCCATTTGACGCCCAATCTGGTGGCCCACTTCAAGAAGCCCTTGGTGATCCATGAGGGTCACATGCAGTGGCTGTACGATCACGAGGGGCGTCGCTATCTGGACATGTTCGGCGGCATTGTCACCGTCTCCGTGGGACACTGTCATCCGTAAGCGAATGAATCTGTTCAGATCGAGTTTCATTGTCATTAATTCCGAGTCCACTTCTCCTACGGCGCAGCAAGGTTAACCAGGCGCTGACCGAGCAGATATCAAAGCTGTGGCACACAACCAATATCTACATGCACCCCAAGATCCACGAGTACGCAGAGCGGCTGGTGGCCAAGTTCCCAGGCAATCTGAAGAGCGTCTGCTTCGTCAATTCCGGCTCGGAGGCCAACGATCTGGCCATGCTCATGGCCCGCATACACACGGGCAACCAGGACATCCTCTCGTTCCGCAATGCCTATCACGGCATGTCACCATACACAATGGGCCTGACGGCCCACTCCACCTGGCGCTTCCCGTTGGCGGGAGTGAACAACGGACTGGTGCACGTGATGAATCCCGATCCGTATCAAGGCATCTGGGGAGGCGCCGCCTGCCGCGACTCGCCCGTGCAGACGACGCGCAGCTGCCAGTGCCAGGAGGGGGGCGGCTGCCAGGCAGGATCTGCGTACTACAACGAGCTGGAGGAGACCTTCAAGTACAGCTTGCCCCGTGGCAAGGTGGCGGCCATGTTTGCCGAGTCCATCCAGGGTGTGGGCGGCACCGTGCAGTTCCCCAAGGGCTACCTGAAGCGGGCAGCCGCTCTGGTCAGGGCCAACGGCGGACTCTTCGTGGCGGACGAGGTGCAGACGGGATTCGGCCGCACGGGAGAGCACTTCTGGGGCTTCGAGGGGCACGACTATGTGCCAGATATCGTCACCATGGCCAAGGGCATTGGCAACGGCTTCCCCCTAGCCGCCGTGGTCACCACACCCGAGATCGCCGCCTCGCTGGGGCAGGCGCTGCACTTCAACACCTACGGAGGCAATCCCATGGCCAGTGCGGTGGGCATCGCCGTGCTAGACGTGATCGAGGAAGAGCAGCTGCAGCGCAACGCCCTGGAGGTCGGCACCTACTTCCTCAAATGCTTGGAGGAGCTGCAGCAACGCTTTGAGATTGTCGGCGATGTCCGGGGCAAAGGACTGATGATCGGCGTCGAGCTGGTCGAGGATCGTGAGAAGCGCACGCCCCTGTCCACGCCCCATGTGCTTGAGATCTGGGAGACGTGCAAGGACCTTGGTGTGCTCTTGGGGCGAGGAGGCCTCCACGGCAACGTAAGTAGAAATCATCATCCATCCTGAGTGATGAGTGCATCCGCATCTGGGATATTCCGTTCCATTTTTGGGCACATCTGACTAACCAAAGCACGTCCCCTCGTTGAGGAGTGAGGAAGGGGCTCTCAGAGTTCGCCGCTCTTGTGTCTCTTTTCGGGACAAATCGCACCTCTTTCCGTCTCTATCCTTGCATCCCTTTTCGTGCATCTCCACAGGTCCTGCGCATCAAGCCGCCCATGTGCATCGATCGTTCGGATGTGAAGTTTGCCGTGGATGTGCTGGACCGAGCCATCACGGCATCTCTGGCCAAGAAGAAGTAAGGCAGCTGCAGCCGCCGCCGCCAGTGAGGAAGAGATGATTTCTCAGGGTACTCAGGTCTCAAACAAAATGCATTTATTAACCGAATTAACTAAAATAAAAAACCAATATCAAGTCATGATCTAATATTCTCCTCTTCCTCTAACCACTTTCTCTGCTAATCCATTCGTATGTCGTAAGTCGATCGTGTGTGTGTTGGCATTCCTTAAAGAGCTTATGCTTTGACAATATTTCCTCTTGTTATTCCCACTCTCAGGTGCTGAGCTTCACGCCACCGCTGTGCGTGGGCTTCGAGGACGTAGAGTTGGCTCTAAATACACTCGAGACCGCCTTTCAGCAGCACATGAGCAAGCGACTACGCAGCTGGAGATACGGCCAGGCCCAAGGCAGGAGCAGCTAGCCTGGTTGTACCTTAGGTTGGCTCATTTATTGGCTAAGCTTATCCGCTAGTAATTGAACAACGTTTATTGAGCAGCATTATGACCGCAAGAGCGAGGCTTCTTCGACTTAGTTTTAGATATTTCTAATCCTAGTATTTTTATATATATATATTCTTAGTCTGATCAGTGTATGTCTGAGTATGTGTGTGCGGGTTGTGTGAGTGGGTGGGCATGTGTGTCATGGGGTCTCATGGATAGCAATTAACCGATATCCGTAGCTGTACAAAGGTAGCGATAGCTTAATGTTTGGCATCAATGGCATCACCTGTGAACTTCTCAAAGTTACTCTTAACCTAAAACAAATCCAACTCCAGCTCCATCACTATCAAATCTAATCTAATTAATGCACAGTTGCAGTCTTGTGCGACTCTTGTGGAGATTCAGTCGGATTCGGGCAGTTTGCGGAGATCGCCTGGGGGCCATCCTCCTCATTGGCGTGCTGCTATACCTGAATGTCCGGATGCTTGCCCTCGTTGCTGCTGCTGCTGTAGTCCGCTGTGAGCAGCGTCTCGGAGAGTTCTTTGCGCGCCTTCTGCACCACCCAGAACATCAGAACAACGCCGCAGATAACCTTAAAAGGAGTAATAAATTAACTGTTTTAAATTTAAAGAAAATATTTAAAATTTGTGTTTTTGCTTTCTGCTTTCCAAATAGAATTTACTCTCGCTAAGAGATAAAAAACAAGGCAAGGCAACTTTCGCGCTGCTATTCACACATTTTCGAATCTATTTCTGTAATTTTCCCTATCCCAAATCTTACAAGTTGGTAAATAAAGCAGATATTTTTACAATATATTAATCAACTATTAAATATGTACTATATGTATAACCTGACGACGCTTATTAAAATCAGTGGTCCGCACACACACATACGGACATGTTTTGCAGTGCGTTTGTGTGCGTATACAGCAGGTAAAACGGAACATTGTAGAAATTTTATTTCTACATTCATTTTATATGGATTCTACAGTCAGAACCTACACCCAAGTTCAACCCAGAAAATATGCTATGAAATTTATGAAGAATGCATGTAAGAATACCTATGACAAGGTCGTATAGTATTGTACAGTATAAAAATACCTTCTTGTCAGAAAAACTAATGGAAATCCATTTAAATTTAAAGCCTCACATTCGCGACCTTTCTTTCAGTGTTTTTCCGGCCCTCCCCAAACTTTTGTGCAATAACGAAAATGGAAAACTTTAAAGTAAGCACGCAATGTCGAGGGAAAATCAATAGGTAAGCATTACCCAATCGGCGTCGGAGCAGGAAACTCACCTCGAGCACAAAGCTAATGTAGCCCGTCAGCTTGGTGTCGTTGTCGTTGAGCACCTCGTGCATGGACCGCAGGGTGGAGCCCAGATAGACATTGATGGTCTGGGCAGGTAGCAGGCCCAGCAACGTGGCCACATGGTAGTCCCTCGTGTTGATGGAACTGATCTGTAAATGTCAAAATTAAGTTATATTTTGTTAAACTGAAGCGGGGGGAGGTGGGGTGGGGAAACCCGTTTCATTTCAAGTTCAATTTTTATTTACACCAGCGACGACTATGAATATTTAATGGAGGCGGCGTACGAGTGTGACTAACGATAAGTGTGACTGAATATGATAAGAGGTTTACTCAGGTGTTCACAGCCAAAGAAAAATGTCAGCGAAGCAGCAAGGGCATTGGCAAGTTGGAAAGGAAATGCTGCCAATTGTACTCATTGCGTATGCACACAGACCACAGGCCCATGGATCGTGAGAGGGTAATCAAATGAGAATTTACGGGGAAAGTACCTGAGTCCCTTCCCCTCTGGGTAGTGCAACAAACGCATTTGACCCTGCATCTGTTCTGATCTGATCACTTACTCCGAATATCACATTTTGCAGTCCAAATGGGATGGGTGTGAGGCGCGTGAAGAGCACCACACGAAAGGCCCTCGGTCCAGATATCACTCGCAGTATAGCCCGACCCGTATCGTTCTTGACCAGCCTGAAAATAGAATGCAATTGAACGGAACAAATCAGTGGGGGGTTGTATGGGGCCATGTCAGACACACAAACAATTCTATAATCAAATTAAAATGGAACATGTATACATACGAGCTTCTATTGCCCGACATGCCGCCACTGTCTGCCATTATCAATTATGGGTTTGTTGCCCAATTATGAGGGGCAGTAAACCTATCCACCCATTTACCCTCCCCCCATAAATGATAGCCACCTGACCAGGTTTTAGTGGGGCAATGTTTTCACTTGATTAACCAGTCATTACGTAGGCCTACATGACTCGTAAATCATAGCTGATGGATTGGGGTGTGGCCCCATACTCTACAACACCAATGGGGCCAGGGGAATTGTGTCGCTAATTGTTAAATCAAAGAAAACACTTATGGAAATTGGACCTAACACTCTCCGCTCTTCCGCTGAGCGTTAGGTGCGGAAGTGCACCAACTTTTCGTTATCAATTTTCGGTCTTCGCCATTATTTCTCCAACTTTCGCAATAAATATGAGTATTTATTTATAAATACGCGTCGTACGAACAGTATGACCTGATAAGACCCTCGCAGAAATAAGCGACAGTTAACAGACTGCGAAAATCGACAATTAGAGTGTCGAAAGAGAGACCCTTCAGTGCACAAGTAGTCCATAAACTAACTATATATTTAGTGTAGTGGCGGAGAACCATCCTCATCATCAGGCATTGCGTTAATGACAAATCGGGTTTTAATGCCGAGTGCCGTATGGGAAGCGGGAATTTAACGACATATCTCGATACGGGGCCTGCTCTTATCAGTGGTGGATCCCTCAACCAAAATTCCATTATGAAATCCCCCCACCTTGAGGGCTTATCAGTCAGAGGAGGCTCAAAGCAAAGTGATTACCCAGTTTAACTCACTTCTGCACTGGTATCCGATGACGACAGCTCCGAATGGTGGCATGGGCAATGGCTATACCAAGATTGGCGCCCAGTATCACGGTCAACCAGCCGCGCAGGCAGCCAAAGAGGTAGCCGGCCGTGATGAGCAGCACAAAGTAGCCGACCACGACCGGAAAGCTGACCAATGTGAAGAGGGCCATGAAGATGGCAAATATCAGCCAGGCGTTCTGCGTCTCTATCCAGAAGAGGAGCTGCTTGGCATAGTCGCGGGTCATCCAGCCGACGAAGAGCAGGGCGCCCAGGATGGAGGCTGGCACCAGGCACCCCAAGTACCAGTTGCGAGTGACGAACGAGTGGGCGCGCACCCAGCAGGAGTTGCGCATCTTGCCGCGGTACAGGGAAGAGGATGGGCGGTTGATCCGCCGACTGCCGCTGGCCGACCCGCTCTTTGACCTGCTCCCCACACTGCCAATAAGGAAGGCATCGCACTCTGTGCTATCCTCGTTTACATTCACGGAACAGTCCAGTGCAGGCAGGAGCGTGGATGCTGTCACAGTTGCAGAGGATGTATTGCCTTCGCTGGTCGCCAAGTCCATATCCAGAAAGGCGTTGGAAGGCGCTGAGGCTGTGGGGGAGGCGGACGCTGACTTTTGGAGGATGCTGTTGTTGTTGGCATATCTGTAGGTGTTGTTGTTGCTGGTGCTGCTGGTGCCAGGCGTCGTCATGGCTACGCTGGGAGTCAGGATTTCTCTCGCTGGATTCCCTCCTCTTCGTTTGCGTTTTCTCTTTCACTTTTGCGTTGTTTGCTCTCCAGCCGATACGAAATTTCACTTTTATGCACCCGCATCGGTGCTGGAGCACAGATGTTCGCAGTTCACAGTTTTAAAATAATGTATGCGAGGCGAATGTATTTAGTGTCAGAAATGGCAAGGCAACCGAGAGCCCGAACTTGTTGTAGCTTTCCGTTGTTATTGTTTTAATTCAATTTCAAACCTGAGAGCTCATTATTGCGTTTCATTCATGATTCATGAAATTTTTTGAAACATCGAATTTTTTATGGCGACTATCGATGTTTTTGCCACATCACTAAAGTAAGGGAAGCGCAAAAGGTATGTTTAAGAATATATTTATTAATTGAATTATTAACTGTATTTAGATTCAAAATTAGTGCGTGTTGTTCTGCAAAGTCTAACCAGTCTAGGCAACCAGACTAGATAAAAGACAATCGATCTTACTGCATATTTTTCCCGATGATCTCATCGCTAGAACAGATGCCCATCACTAAAAGTTCTGTCCCGCTATTTTCACCATTTTGGGTATTGAATATTGTATTGTATTGTATTGCCAATTTAAAATACGGTCTCGAAATTTACCCCAGCCGAAACGATTAACCAGAAGGAAGGAAGGAAACTAGCAGTACAGCTAGTACAGCTCTGAGAAATCTGTGAGACACCGTTTGCGAGCGTCCATACATTTGTTATCATTTTCCGAATCTCTTTACCAAGTCAGACATGTGTTTACATGGAACATCATCGTTTGCAGAAGGATTTCAAAGTTTAATTAAACCAGGCCTTTATGTTACTCACGCATAGTATTTTGAAACTTTTACATTGCGCCAACTGGACTGCTGTTAATACCAGCTGAGCGGCAACAGGTAATATACTTCTGGTCACACTTTTGCATATTTTTTTCCTCGGTATATTCAAAAAAAGAAGGTATATTTCTGAGGGTCAGTCACATTGTCGCCAATGTTATTATTTACTTTTTTTTAGACGTTTAAAATTTAATTAAACATGCTGTCGTACAACCGTGCAACCTGGTGCCTGCTCGGGAAACATATGCGGAATCTTTCAATGCCGGTAGAGACCGAGGCCAACAGCTTGTTGCCGGCTTATACAGATGAGGAGCGCCAAAAGATCTTGGAAACGATCAACGACTCCAGCGTCGGTCAGATGCTCAGGTTGGTATGCTCAGTACACCACCCCTTTTCGTCGCCAGTTACCCCGTTTAATGACAAGTATTCTTCTACACACCACAGCTACGACATAACCAAGGGGCGAGCCAACAAACTGCACAACTGGAGGACGCGCAATGGTCCACTTCGGGATGTGAACGACATCTTGTATGTGGAGGGCTTTGGCTTGAAGGTGGCAACAAAGTTCTTCAGTAGCCTGCTGGAACCAGAGGGCGTCAGAAGGAGCAGCGAGGGAAATGCCACCCAGAAGCCAAAGTCCACCCGAACTGCTCCCTTCATCACTCCCGGCATGGACGAGGGACAGCGTGTGCGGATTGCGTCCAGCGTGGGAGTTCGCATTGGTGTGACCAGTGTTAGTTGGGCACGAATTGAGATTGGAAAGAATGACAATGATCCCTGCCTCCTCACCCACTGGCAGCATCACGAGCTAAACGACAAGAAGCTGCACTTGGCCGAGCTGGCCCGACGCTGCCTCTACGTGACCCACCAAATGCCGCAGGCAGATTGCTATGTTCTAGAAAATCCACAGATGGCCCAGGCCAGCAGCAATCCAGGCAGCATCGATCAGCAGAATGTGAACATCCAGAAGTCCCAAGTGACGGCCATATTGAGCTATGCCCTGTTGTCCCGGGCCGATCCAGACGAGACCAAGTGCAACAACCTCTACTACATGCGGCGCTTTCTAACAGCACGACTCTTCAACCACTTGGTGGGCACAGAGAGGGTCTCCTCGGAGGAAACAATTCTCTCCATGATGCGCACCCACTACAACATGGACGATCAGACGGAGAAGACACTGCAGGCACACGCAGGAATACGCAGTCAGATGCAGTTCCCTGCAGACTTGAGAAATATGTTCTCGCAACTGGAACGCTACCAGCGTGAGTTGCTGGGTCAGGCTTTTCTGCTTAACCTGGCATTCGCACGACTCGTTCTCCTGCAGGATCCGTTGAGCATTTCAACTGTTTCGCGCAGCCCAAAGAGTTCCCTCCTTCCCAGTGCCGATGGCTGTGAGGCAATTGTTCAATAGTCGATGATATATATGTATTTGTTGATTGAATTGTTGGCTATTCCTACATAATAAATGTTATTCTCTTCGCAGAAGGGTCGTGTTATAAGAAAAAAGATTGCTTGCTTCGTACTAGCGAGTTCATGAACTGATAATGATGAAAATACTCGTAATAATAATGTAATAAACGTAAATGGGTATTAGCGTGGATTTCTTTTACCACTTCCCATGCTAAAATGGCTTTTGGCGGGAATCTTCGGACGGCGGCCACCCAGGCTGGGAAATTCACCATCGTTAGACAACTCACCGTCATAGATGGTGTGATCTCTCGGTACATACGAGCTTGATACCGACTGACGGCTGCTGGTCGGTGACAAGTCACGCGATCCGATTTCCTTCTTGATTTGCGATGGAGCTGAATAAAATGAATCAAGCGAAACCTCATCAAAGTTTGACGAACAGTCCCCAGGAGTGACGGTATAGTTTGGCTTGACCTTAGGGGGAATGTGCTTGCCAGGCTTGAGCGGAATGGCCAGGTCAGCGCAAATGTAGTCGCTAAAGATGAATCCCCAACGCATGACCATGCTCTTGGTACAGTATTTGGAGCGATCGATTTCCTCATGGTACTGGAAATGAAATTAAATAGCTAGCGCTTGATATAAAACTAGAAATTTATCCAACTGGAAACTTACGTCGCACGCAATATCTGCGGTAAATTCAAAAAAGTCTTTGGTAAAGAAGTTTGTAGTCACATGGAAGTTAATGTGCTCGTTCGGAACGCCAGCCATGTCCAAAACATTCTTCTTCAGGGTGTGAAACAAGTGGAAGATGTCGTACACCACAATCTTTCGAGCATCTTTGTCGGTCTCGGCCTCGCATCCCAGATAGCGGAAGCAAGACTTTACCACCGGCATTAGAGCTGGGGTCGTGTAGACAATGATCGGATCGTGGTCATATTGTTGATCCTCCTGATCATTGCTCATGGACAACCAATTCAAGATATCAATGTACAATCTGCCCATGTTAGTCTCGCCCATGGCCTTCGGTGGCAAGGGCAGCTTGTGGGTAGTCAGCGAATGATGTTGGGCATCGCTGTACTGTCCAAAGATAATGTGACCTGAGAATAAATTGCGGTTAGAACGTGGTCCCACGCAGCAGGCTTACATAAACTTCCGGCTTACCTGGATTAATCATGCTGCTGTAATTAGAGCTGATGCCACCCTTCAGAGAGTAGCGGCAGGCGGAAAACTCCGCGGGCACGTAAATATCCCCAGTCAGGGCCTTGGTAAAATAATTGAAGCTAACAAACACAAATTCCTCATCCTCCAACTCTTTCTCTGCAAGCAAAAATCAGCACCAACTTTTATTGATGGCTCTCATTAAGAATAAAGTCGCTTACCTATCGAATTCTTTGCATTCAAAATAATGCGTTCGATCTTACGCTTCATTTGAAGCTCTGCGTTTATGGCCTCGTTTTTCTCCATTTCTATTTTTGAGACGGCATCGCCCAGACAGGTGAGACGCTCCTTCTTTGCTGCTCTCTCCAGCACGTTGGAATTCTTAGCCATCGAGTTGTACGGGCCACGTTCCTGCTCGCTCATATTCTGTAATCGAGATGCACAGTATATAATCTGTTACTGTCCACCGGCTTGCGGTTGCACTTACCTTCCAAAGAATTCCACACTTTGTCACCGCCTCAGAAATGGTTAAGGCACGACCCTCGTGGTTATTTACGCGCCAGTCGGAGACGAACGCCATGAACCCATTGTGCTTTTTCGGAGCCATTTTCAGTAGTAGCTCTGGCTAGGGGCGTGGAAAATACGCTGGGAGGGCAAGTATGGCAGCAATCAACAGATAACCGAATGGATGCGAAGGCACCGTGTGCGTGAACGAGATAGCGAGGGCACGTAAAAACCAATGGAAAGAGCTGAAGCCGGTTTTTCCTGAAGATATTTAGAAATACAGTACAAACATACATACATATATATATGTAGAATATTCTACTATACATGCATACGTTGCAAATTACGCTCATACATGTGCATATGTCACACACACACACGTGCATATGTGGACAAGATTTTTCAAGCACAAATTCCGATACAGAAATCACTGAAATTAGCTTTACAATATGACAATTAAATGCCATGATCTTTATGCAAACAGAAACCATAATTGTACAAACATTTACATACTCTTTTCTGAGAAACTCAAATATTATACGCGCCCTCTTCGAAAAAAATAAGCTTGAGCACGAATTGGGCTGTGTTTCTACGATATTCTTATTTCAAAAGATTTATAAAATTAGTATATTGACCTTCATGCAATTCGAAACAATGTTTCTACACACCTTTACTTTAATTTTAAATTTTACTCGCACCGCATTGCGAATCTCTGGAACAGAAAAAAAAACAGCCAATCTCTGCGAATTACAAAGCAAAAAGGAATCTAAAAAATAGACGCCGCCATATTCGTTCGGTTTTACAGCACTATTTTTCTCAACACTGGTGAGTGCCAGTTTCTAAAACTTGATTTTTTTTTTTAAATTTTTATATTTTTAGTAAGCATGGGCTCAGTGGACATCAAGAAATACCGTGGGAAATGCTGCATTCCAGATTTCGAAGACTTGCTTCCCAACCGCAAGTATCGCTGCAATAGGTGCGACAAACGACCACCAGTGTTCAATGGGCTGGATCGGTACAATCGCCATTTGAGGAAATTTCACAAAATAGAAGTTAAAGAAGCTGATTGTTTTCATTGTCCCTTGGAGGAGTGTCAGTACCATAAACATAGGCTGAATGTTGCCCCTATGACAAAGCTGCACATGTTGCGTCGACACTACCAGGAGCGCCACTTGCCGAAGAAGTACAAATGCACGCATTGCTGCCGAAGGTTCGTTCTGGAGGATCAGTTGTTGAAACACAAATGTAGACGTGTTGCGAACCACTATGAAAATCAACATGTGGAGATCGATGTGGAGAGTATGGATGATAAGAATAGTAATGCGAGTAGTGCCGAAGAAACACTAGAGCTACCGCAGGAAAGCATGGACACCGAACAAGATAGAGGTCAACGGGTGGAGCTCCCCGCTGCGAAGAGTATTTGCCCCCACTGCGATAGGACACTCCATAAAAAGTCCTTGAAGCGACATTTATTGGGGTGCTCTGCCGAGAAACAATGTGAAAAATGTAGTAGGAAGTATAAGCACAGTCACAACTGCAAGGAGTATTTCTGCAATTTGTGCAGCCGTACATTCTTTCGCAAGTCAGACCTGGCCAAGCACATCACTACTTTGGCCCGTAACCGCTCGTCAATCTCAGAATACATGGATTTTATTGAGGATTTCGAGCAACTGATTCACAGAATAGAATCTAAAGAAGTCCAGGACGAAGCGCTGATCAAAACGATAGCCGACATTCTCCTCTATAGTCATGAGCGCGAACGACTTTAATATTTTCATATGTAACGATCTTAAAATAAAATTTGTTCATTTTCCATCACTGATCACTCAGGGTTGCTTTGCGCGCCACTCAGATCAGATTGAGCGGTTTTGTTTACTTTCTTCTACAATCGCCTACAGAATTGGATTAGGTTAGAAAGAAGAGCTCACCTCGTATCCCCACTATCTGCAGAATGTCGGAGAGCGCGAGCCAAGACGCAGGGGAGCCCAAACCCCCTGCAATGCACATCGATCGGTACTTCACAAACCTACGCTGGTCTATGGACAACAACAAGAAGTCGTCTGCGGATATTGATTTCAGCATGAACGGCGGACTTCTGGAATTTTTAAAGTCTAAATCAAATGAAGGAGGGGCCGAGACGCCAGATGCACAGCCCTTGACATCGCCTGCGGAGAACTCGACACCACCACCAACAGATCCTCCTCCCTGGATGAAGTGCTGCGGTCGCAATTTTAAGAGTTCCATATTCTCGCTCCAGCCTGCAGAGCAGCCCAAGCGTCGTAGCTTTAGCCGCATTCCGTCACGTGCCCCAAATGGACATTTGAATTCCAACTCGTTAGATTAATAGTACGCGGGAAGCCTTCGTATGATTTTTATTGACACTGATGGAGAATCAAAATATAAAAAATAAAGCCTTTACATGATTCTTGGACCATATCTTAAAAATACGTATTATACAGAGAATTCTTTAACATTCACGCTCCACGATAGCTAATAGTACCCATTTGGTGGGTAGTATTGACACGGATAGCCAGTTTGGCCCAACGTGGCTGGATTGTAAGGCGGGGCCATATGTTCCTGTTCCGTAGGCAAGGAATTGTACTCTGGCCGACCTAGGATTCGGTGTCGCAGGTCGTGTGGACCCAAGGGCAACGAGCGCGTCGAACCCAGGCGGTGGCGTAGATCTTGAGGGCCCAAAGCACCTAAGTAGTTATAGACAGGTGCCGGTGCCTGCCAGTTCGTACCGTCCTGCATGGTAGCGGTCCTATACTCAAAGTGAGTGTAATGCGTTTGCGTATACCACATTTGGTTGCTGGCTATGGCTAGTGGCATTTGCGGCAAATGTCTGGGCGGTGGTGGTCCTGGACTTTCGAATCGACTGGTTATTATGGGTAGTATTGGGCTTGGTGAGTTGTGAGTCATTGGAGCGGCAGGTCCGACAGGCGAAAAATCACTTGGTTGCAACTTCTCCACAGGCCCGTCCGAGCAGACAGGAGAAACGGTGTCGCGTATCCTTGTTTCATTCACAGCAGCATGAGAATAACTTTTCATGTGGCGTATAGGTATGGGCTCACGAGAACATTGCTGTCGGGATCTACTGCTCGAGTGGCGTTTAGGTGGCTCACGAGGGGGACAGTGCTGTCGGGATCTACTTCTAGAGTGTCTTTTGGGTTGCTGACGTGAACGACATCGCTGTCGTGATCTACTTCTTGAGTGGCTTTTGGTGGGCTCCCGGGAAAGACATCGGTCGGGACAGTCGTTTTGGGGAATAGCGACGGATGTATCTGGGAAACTCCCGTCGGCCTCTGTGCGGTGATCTTATCGGACTCAAACTGTCTCGACGCAAGGGTCTTCTGTTCGATGAACCACTCCTGGAACGTCTACGGCCAAATGCATTCCAATGCTCCTCGAATTTACGGCGCGATAGCCTATTGTAGGACATCTGCTTGCGAAACTGTTCACGATCGTTGGAACTCGTCCTATTTGGGCTGCGTGTTCTATTCCTGTTGGTGTCGGCTGATATCCTCGTGGTACTCTTCCTTGGCACTCTCTCACGTCTGATCTGGCCTGGGCTTTTTGCCCTTGATTTGTTGCATCTTTTAGTTTCCATCGAGGAACTTTTTCTATGAGCCCCATCCCGGCTGCAAGTGGTTCTATCTCCTTTGTGATCGTTTCTGAGCCTAGGCGCTGATCTAATCGGACTGCATTGTCGTTTTTTGGTAGACCCACTCCGAGAACGCCTACGCCTAGATGGATGCCATGGCGGAGAACCACAGGATCGCCTGGAATGCAAACGACTTTTACTTTGAACGTGCGCTTCATCAATTGGCTCCAAGGCTGTTTCGCTCTTTTTTGGTGAGTCCAGGGCCAGGGTTTCGCTTATGCTGGCGGGAGAACTTGCAACTGGAGAGGCAATTTCCACTTTGCTGCGTCTAGTGAACAAAAAGCAGTCATCGGATAGTGAGATAGATGGCGGTGGTGGCGCCTCTAATGGCATATCAACCAGGTACACGGGCACATTTTCTTCCTCGAGGAGCTCTGCCAGCTCGTCGAAAGGATCCCGCTCGAAATCCATGCACTGCTCGTCATGCGGTTCAGTCTTGATATGCCCTTCATCCAGCTGCGCATGCTGTTCTGTGATGTCAAAGTAATCCTCGCTCGGAGATCCCGGATGGCTTTCCTTCATGCCCATCGCGTGTTCAATTTGGCACGGGGATTGAGACCCGTTTTCCTCGCGCTAAATAAATAAATACATGGAGTCAAATGTCATTCGTAAATTGCGACTTTTGTAGCGCCAAGCGGGGTCTCGATTTGTGTTCACATACCTGCCACGGCGATTTTACCATTTCCGACACCTTCCACTCCTGTTCTGACAAATCCTATATGCAGGTGTTGTTGCTAGATTTTAAAAAAATTGTAATTAAATAAGTGGGCTAACTAGCTAGTAAATATTAAAATATCAAAATCGTGGAATATCAACGCATCGTGCGTGTCCGTATATTTACGGTATATTTTGATAATGACTAGGTATAATTCGGTTTATTTCTGAGGGTCAGGCGGTATATTATATCAATAAATGCGCGGTCACACTGGCGCACAACCATCACACACGTCCACGTACGTCCGAAAAGTTAAAGAATTAGTTAAAAACTCTTAATTAAGGTAAGATCCAAGGGTGTGTCACTAACACTAAGCTACAGACACCTTTTCGACACTGCTGCAGGAATTACAAAGTCTTCGAAGGTGAAAGAGCTACGCAACGCCAAGGCAACGTCAACAATTTTCATAGCTGTGAACAAACAACAATTGAGTTTTGTGCAATATTCGTCATGTCAAATTCCGCTGCAGGACCCACCAAGCAGGACCTCGAGTCGGTTTTCAGTCGCCTGCGTGCCCAGCCAGCCAATAAGGTGAGTTGCCCTACTTCTGCCACTTGCCCTTCGGCTCACAATCAGAAGCCCACCTCCACTCACCCTCTGACCCGCTTTTGCCAACGCTTTCAGTCCTGCTTCGATTGCGCGGCCAAGGCACCCACCTGGTCATCCGTCACGTATGGCATCTTTATTTGCATCGACTGCTCGGCCGTCCACCGGAATCTGGGCGTTCACCTGACCTTCGTGCGGAGCACCAATCTGGACACGAACTGGACGTGGCAGCAGCTGCGCCAGATGCAGCTCGGCGGCAATGCCAACGCCTCGCAGTTCTTCCGCTCCCACAACTGCACCAGCTCCGATGCCCAGGTCAAGTATAACTCCAGGGCGGCCCAGCTCTATCGGGACAAGCTGAGTGGCCAGGCCCAGCAGGCCATGAAGGTGCACGGAACCAAGGTGAGTTTCCAGCTCCTCGTCTGGCGCTGAGAGTTGAGTTCCGTTTGTTTGTTCTTGCCTGGAGTTTCTTGACACTGACACGCCTAATTAACATTTGCTTTTGCTAATATGCCTTGCGCTTTCCCGAACTCCGAATCCGATTACGACCCCAAACCCAATCGATATACCACACACGTGAAACTGACACCGACACCAACACAGCTGCATCTTCTGGAGCCGGCGGTCGACAAGAGCGAGGGCAACGAGGCTGCCAAGGAGGAGGATTTCTTTGCTCAGTGCGTTGCCAACGACAATGCGGACTTTAATGCGGAAAACAACAACATCAGCAAGGTAGGAGACACCCCAGAGGGGGAGACACACAGGAGACACGCCCGCGCTTTTAGAGTTGATTAGTTCTCGTTACCCCTGCCATTTGCTCATCCCTGTTTACCTTCCAGCTGGAGACAAAACCGACTCCGTCGCTCACTAATCTGGAGAGCCAGCTAAGCGGCGCACCCAGCGTGGATCTGCTCAACTCGGTGGTGGCATCATCCGTGCCCTCCTCCATAGGAGTGCGCAAGATACAGCCCAAGAAGGGCGGGGTAAGTTTTTCCACGAGAAATCGAATTAGAAGAGCGTCCGATTCATTTTGGTTTTTCATTTGCAGCTGGGCGCTCGTAAAGTGGGCGGCGGTCTGGGCGCCACCAAAGTAAAGACCAACTTTGCCGACATTGAGGCTCGAGCCAATGCGGCCAACGAGATGAAGACGTCCAGCGTCCAGGCAGCGCCCGTGGACAAGCCCCAAACTGCCGAAGAGGAGCTGGAGACAGTGGCCAGCATGCGGCTGGCCTACCAGGAGCTATCGGTGCAGAAGACACGCGAAGAGGCAAAGCTCAAGACCATGGATCCGGCCAAGGCCAAGCAAATGGAGCGCCTGGGCATGGGCTTCAGCCTGCGTGGCTCGGATATGGCTCACTCCGCCATCGGGGATATGGCGACCATCCAGCAGACGGCGGCTCCCAAGAATAAAGTCTCTGCGCTCGAGAACGACAATTTCTTCACCGACTACTCGCTGTACAGCGGTGGCGGTAGCGGCACTGGTGGAGGCGGCGGCGGCGGACACTCCAGCGACAAGCGCGAGAGTTCAGCTGGTGCGTCCAGTAAACTGGACAAATTCGAATTGGATGCATTGGGCTACGAGACTATCGAGCCCATAGGCGGGACGCATGGCAACATCACGTCCATGTTTGCCAACAGCTACGACTACGACAAGCCCAAGGCGTCGGCCAGGACGACCAGCGGTTCGGGTGCCACATCCTCCTCTTCCTCGTATGCCACCAGCAAGAGCAAAAGCACCGCCAGCAACGATCCCGTGATAGCCCAACAGAAGTTTGGCAACTCCAAGGGCTTTGGCTCCGACCAATACTTCGCCAGCGAACAATCTTCATCTGACGTTGGCGCGAGTCTGAATCGATTCCAGGGATCACGTGCCATATCCTCGTCGGACTATTTCGGAGACGGCTCTCCAGCTGGCAGGGGTGAGTGCACATTTAGATTTGACTTAGCTGTAGATGCAGATAATGACCTCTGAAATGTCCTTCCTATAGGCGGCAGCAGCGGCGGAGGAGGGTATTCATCTGCGAACTTTAATGCGCCCGACCTAGACGTGGAGAGTGTGAAGGAGAGTGTGCGCCAAGGCGTCCACAAGGTGGCCGGACGCATCAGCAATCTGGCCAATGATGTGATGTCCTCACTGCAGGACAAGTACGGCTACTGATATCAGAAGGATGGCCATAGCCAGCGGAGTCGCAGGAGCAGCAGCAGCAGTGGTGGTGGAGGTGCAGCAGACACTAAATTTAATGTTTTTATATATTAGTCACACACAAAAGTTTAGCGATTATGCAGAAAGTTATAAACAATTCCGAGCAGTTAACCCCAATGTAGCATCTAGCGTCAGAGGACTAATCCCTGGATATACCTCTATAGTTCTTGTATAAACAAAAAGAAGCAGTCTAGTGAGCTGTACAATACGCGTAGTGTCTTTTAAAATATACTATATACATATACATACACATGTGGATGCTATACGAATGAGAAGTCTAAGCATCGATGCATCCCCCTTAGTCCTAAGTCGAGCCTATAGCCGAATGATCGTTGATTTGTTTACTTCACTTAAGAGCATTTACTTTGGCCCATTTCCACATTGATTGTATCTCCGAATGAGCATCAAATGAAATAGAATACATAAATATATTAGAAATGCATAGCGGATCGTTTCCCCAATCGAGTAATCTCCTCTTCAATGGCGTTTAAAGAACAGAAATAACTTTATTTAAATGCGCTCAAAGGTTGACAATTTCGCTAATAATTACAGGAGAATCTTTAATTTACAGACTGGATCTAGCAAGATGTGGTGGATGGATGGTCATCAGTCGGTGGCTTAGTGGCGGAACTTGCTGGGATTGGGACGGACGCGGGCACGCACCGAGTCGGGGGAGCCATAGGCGATGGCATGGCTGGTGGCAGCTCCACCCTCGCCGGTGCTGAAGGAGTTGGCAATGGCGATGGCGCCGCCGCTGGTACCTCCGAAATTGATGGGGAAGAAGCTGCCGGCAGGCAGGGGAGCGGCAGGCTTCTTCGAGGGCTTGGCAGCTGGAGCGGCAGCCTTGACTGGCTTCTTGGCCGCTGGACGACGGGCATTGGGCACGCGGGCTGGGTTCTGGATCACCGGCTTGACGGGCACGGCCAGCTGCTCCTCATCTTCGTCAACATCGTCGGAAACGGTGTTCTCGGCTTCCTCATCCTCAATGGCAGCGACCTCGGGCTCATCCTCCTCGGGGGACTGATCGAGCTCGACAATGACCTTCTTCTTGGCGGGCAGGTAACGGATGGCGGGCACAACGGCAGCCACAGGGGCAATGGGAGCGGGAGCTGGCAGCTCAGCCTCGACGGCGACGGGCTCGGCGATGGCCTCCTCCTCTGCGGCAACTGCGGCGGCGGCAGCTTCCTCGGAGACAAAGTTGAATTCACGTGGCACCTTGGCGGCATCATCGTTCTCCACGACGGCAACGGCAACCTCGGGCTCAGCCTCAGGCACGACATCAGCATCGATGGCCACCTGGACAACGGGAGCCTCCTCGGGATAGGCCTCGGCCACGGAAGTGGCTCCATGGGCACCGGCAGCGGCCAGGACATCCTCGACCTGGGCTACCTCGCCGCTGAGCTCATCCGCAGACTCTGCATGATTGCAATCTTTGGTTAGGAACCGCACTGTTAGTTCTGGCTGGGATTAGTAGGTGGGTGTGTTCGTGCTTACCCTTCAGGTAGGTGCCGGTGGCAACGGTCTCTCCGGCCACAAGGGCGCTGGCCGCCTGGGTGGAGCGGGCATGGGTGCGTCCTGGCTGCACGTACTGCATGTACATGATGCGCTGCTGGGGCGCGGAACCGTACCACTCGGCGGCTGCGGGCTGCTGGTAGTAGACCATTCCTGGAACGAGGTATTGCCGATCTTCAGTAGATGTTGGTGACGTTTCATGACGAATGGAATGAGATGTGAGATGATTAATGGGGGAATGAGTAGCGTGATCTCCGGTTCACTTAATCCTTTGTGTCCCCCCTTTTTCCACTCGCTCAACTCACTTTTCCTGGCGGGCAGGGCATCGCCGCTGGCCACGAATCCAGCGATCACCAGCAGAGCCAAAGCAGCACTGAACTTCATGTTGGATTAAATTCGTTATGCGATTTGCGGATGGTTGGGGGGTTATATAGCTTTATAAGTCCTTGGTTACTTAAGGGATACGCGCACTGATCACAGCAGGAGCTAAACTTGTCACTGAAGTTTCCACCAAAGAAGTGATGTCTGGGCAACGCAGCGCGTTAGATTTATATACGAAACCAAATGGGCAAAAAACGGCCAACAAGACGAGCATAATGAGAGGCAGCGACGAACAAAAAAATCGGATATACCCATAGGCAGGCGGCATATAACGAGGCAGAAGCCCTGCTTTGTATGCAGTAGGGGATCGTCGCGGGTCTGGTCTGTCGTAGCCCCAGCGGAACGTGCGAACCATCCGCCTGACAACTCCGATCGCTGGGATCTCGATGATATGATACTCATATTGTAGTCGTAGTCGTATTCGTATCATTTATCGTATTGCGCGTTTATGGTGGAACGACCGAGATCGCTTTAAGCTGTCGATTCGGGGACCTAATCAGCGATGGGTGTTGGGTGTTGGGTGTTGAGAGACTGGATATTGAAGACGGGCCTGGGCTCAGAGTAGAGAATATGGTTAGTCTCGAACCAATTCCCCGCAACGAATAAGGGGAGGGACACATGTTGGTCATAAAAAACCAAAATTGGTAATTTAATTTTAAGGTCATTTCGGAGCCCCTGATAGGAAAACGCCAAATAATTCGAGGTTTATGGGTGCGTGTGTGCCTTATCGCCTTTTGGTCGATAGAAGTGAGCCGCTCGGAGAATAAAAATAGCCATCCGGGGGACATGCAGTGCATAAGATATATCGGCCAGGAGATCCAGGCTGTCGAGGTGCGTGATTCATTCAGCCCATTGACGTCAGTTAAAGAGTTCTTCTCTAGACTGCCGGTGGGGCGCCAGATGTTGCCTCTTAAATGTCAATTACTGCAGTTTCTTTCACGTTCCCCACGACGTGCACCTCATCGTTAAGTGAGTCTCCTCCGCCTCAGACTGAGTCATGCGCATCAATCATAGTTGGTTGCCACGGCGACAGGCACAGGCTCAAGCTCACCTGATCGCATGGCATGCAGGGCATGGCCAAGTCGTATCGGATAGTTACGGGGACCGACTGCAGGCTGGGAAAATGGATTTTTGATTAATTTTTGTTGAATTACGGCGAGCGATTTCTGCTGATGTGCACATCACATCAAACGTGGTGACATCTGCCGCACAATCGAAAAATGAATTGATTTTTTTGCATATTAAGCCGCTCACTTGAATTTGTGTGTGGAAGAATGGGGATGGGGAATGGGGCATTCATGGCGAGCGGCTTAATGGCCATTTGCTCTATTATTCCCAAAGCTTTGGCATGCATTTAATGAGCTTCTCCATTTGTTTTGTATTCATAAATTGTAGGAAACTTCATGGGAATTTATAAAGGTTTCAGGACAAGCCTTCATGTCGTTGGGTGGATGGTAAGGTGATCCTTTTACACTCCCACTCGGGGGCCACCCAGCGACGTAATTGCACACTTTGTATTTATCCCGTCCACTGTATGATTTATCCAAAACACATTCCTAATTATCAACTTTTTATGCAAATGCCTCGCAATGTTTTCGAACAAAAAACCCAACGAAGTCGAAGTGTGCTCCTCCGCATCACAATGGCCCAGTTCTGGGTTATTTCTACGCAATAGTTGGATGGCTCCAGGGCAAAACATAAACAAGGGAAGGAGATGTGAGTCTCTACAAGCCGGATATTAAATACTCTTCCTAGGGCTCGAGTTAACTGGAAAATAAATACATTTCAGCTTACGATTTAATTGTACTTTAATATACTTAACTGGATCAAAAAGCTGTTGATTAATCCCCAAGTTATGGTAGGGTGGTACTTTTAGTAGTGGCAATATATCCATTCATAAGAAATCTGTAACTAATATAATTCAATTAAAACGAGAAAGATATTCCCAAATAAATGTAGTTGACTGCTGGCACAGTTCCCGATTTCTTAACGTACTCTGTAAATGATAAGAAAATAAAAATAATAAAATTTGTTCAATGTTTTATCAAAATATAAACAAATAGATATTTACCCGAACTGAAATCGGTTGTGTTTTGGTCACTCAAACAACTTCTTGTGTTATGTGCCTCCGGTAAGGGCAAACCTACACACATAAGAAAGACAAAACAAATAAAAATAAGAGCCAATAGAATTTTATATCCTGTTCGACACCTGTTTATCAGGTTCCGCCTCTGGCCGTTTATGCAAATTGAGGGATCTCTCTGTGGAGCGTTTTTGCTCTTAATGTTCTATTTAATTCCCGAATTTGGAACACCCAAGACCATTAAATTGAGTGTGCCCCGCCGCACTAGATAGTGGCCAAAAACCCCCTTCCCCAGGCCACAGGGGAGCTGGAGCAGAGGAAAAAACCAACCTAATGTACGACATTATTGCCGATATGCAAACAGAATTTCAATGTGCGCTGCTTAAACAGCAATTTGTGGCCGATTGTCGATTAGATGATGCCGAAACTCGAGCAGCTAGCACCCGTGGGCAGAAGCGAGACACTTTTGGATATTATTCGAAAACCCTTCTTCCTCTCCACCACAATTATAGCCATCGAAAAGCACTGTACTGGCGCGAGCATTTCGTGCAATTAAAGTTATACTTTTGGATCGTTTCAATTGAGGCCCTGCCTCGCATCTGCCACCAAATTGTATTAAAAGCGTTGCTCTGACATTTAACACTTGGCATGCGGTTGCCACTGTGCCGTGCCCTCCAGTTGTGCAACCGACCAGGCCGGGGCATTTCATCTGGCCTGACAATGCAATTAATCAACGTAAATTAAAATTAACTTAATTCCGGGTGCAGCTCGACATTGTGGTCGATCCATCTGGTAGTCCGACTCTATGGTGTGCACACTATGCATATTTATATCTCTGCAGCATGGGGAGCATCGCGGATTGCTCGGAGCTCCTTTTCCCGCTCTCAATCTGTCCAATAAAAGTGCTCTCCTGGATGGCTTAGTGCCGGGACTCCACTCAGGTGACTCCCAAAGGGCAAAAGTCCCTCCGGCTGCTCCGGGCCGCCACGACAGCCAGCTGGTCGGGGCAGTGATTAAGTGCAACTAGCGCCGGACATGGACATGTGACACCAGCTGGGCTGGCCGCCCAGAATCCCTCGCTGGACCTCACCAGCGCTCATTTTTCTCGCCGCCTGTCACTGGCCAAGTTGGCAATTAAAGATATGTATATACAGCTCGTTCTTGCCTCCTATTTTTTGTGTGGAAATAAATTGTAGAAATAGGAAAAAAAACGTGCAACAGCTGTTTACCGCTTACCGCCGGCCTGACCCATGGAGCGGAGTTCCACTGAAGTTCCAGTTGGTCGTGGGGACACATGCAAACCAGTTGCCATTTTCACTTCTCCTGCGACTTTTTCACAATTTATTTTCACACTCTCGAGGACAGGACAGTCGCCACATGGCCCGGGCGGTTGGCTCCTCCTCAGCTGGAGACTCTGCTGCCTCTGCTCTGTCTGGGTATGTGTGTGCCGCAGTAGTCAAGATGTTGCCATGTTTCGCCTTGCCTGCTGCACTTTAATGGCTTCATATTTTCTGCAAAATTAGAGAAGTTACTTTTGCTTACATTTCTAGTTTCTCTTGCTCCTGCCACTCCTTCTTCCCGTTGTTGTTGTTGTTGTTGTGGCCTTTGTCTTTTGTTACAAGTTTCTCGCTGCTCATTATGGGCCACGCCACTCTCCTCACAGAGTTGACTCCATTAAATTGTAATTTTTGGCAACATTTTGGTTTGCATAAATCTTGGCCCCGACTGAAGTTGTTCCACGTTTACATCCACATCCTTGCTCTGTAGTGTCCTGTCCTGTCCTCTCCTCTCTCTCTCTGGGGACCGGTCTCTGGTGTCCTTGTGGCTCACGCTTGCTCGTGTTTCAAGTTTATTAAAAAGTCCTCAACATATTATGGTTACTTAAACTATTAAAATAACAACTGGCTGTCTCACTGTGTGTGTGTGTGTGTGTGTGTTGTTTGCTCCTTAGGGCCACTGTGCTCGTCCTTCGGCTGGCTCCTGTGCCCGCAGATAATGTGTAAATAATTTGAGTGCAAACAATGGGCTCCGAGTGCTGCAATTGTGCGGAGTGTAGACCGGGACAAGGACCAGGACCCGGACCCAGGCTTGATATGCATCTACAAGTCTTGCTGGGACCCCTTTCCTATGCCAATCACAGAACAGTCCTCAGCCTATTGTTCGGTGGCACAACTTTGCATCGATTCAAGCCAGAGAAGCCACAAAATCCGTATGAGGCTCATTAAGAAAGTTTTTCCGGAGCATAGCCATAGCCCTAGAAAAACAGCATATAATAAATCGAGGTGAGCACGGAAAACGTATCGCATCCAGGTGGACGACTGAAAAACAGAACAACTGCAGCGTGACAAACAATGGGGAAGGACAGTCGCAATCGGTTTTGTGGCAAGTCCTGTCCAATGGCTGCTGGCCCGTGTCAGGGTCCTACCCCATGGGAGCACAGCCGCAGACAAACGGAGCCGAGGCCGGAGCGGGTGCCCGATAAGAACCAAGTACGGATGGACGGACGAGCGGCGATAGTGTCACAAAACAAATAACTTACCGAAAAAAGCCGCAAAGCCAGCAGCAGTCTAAGGGGCAGCGCTCCCACAACAAGTGACCGCTAATGTTTAGCCACATGTGGCAGGGCAGGGCAGAACAGGGATCGGGCGAATGTCAGGCTTTTCAAATTGCATTGTCAAAGTTCGGTTGTTGGTGGTCGGTGGTATGCAAATTTCACTAAAATAAAGAAAACGGACAAACCAAAAAAAAAGCGGCTGTGTGCATGAGTGTGTGTGTTTACATGTAGTTGTAGTGTGGCAAAACAAATGAGAGTCTCCGTTAGATTTTAGGAGTGCCAACCTGGCGAAAATGGTAAACCATGTTTAAAATGTATATTAATTCAGTAACTTTTACATAAATTTATTCCACTAAATTATTATATTTTTTTATGTTTTTCAATCACTTTTCACTTCACAAGCAAATCTTGCAGTGTGAGAGCGGTAGAAATATATTCTATGCTTATGACGGTTATCAACACTAACTTTGCACTTTTCCTCTTGCTGTCTCTGTCTAACGCAAACACGTTTGATCTACCGTTGATCGCAATTTTATGCGAATTCCATTTGCATTATCCCTAAATTAGTTCGTCAGTGTTTTTCAAGTGCTCTGTAAATATTCCCTAATACATTTCGTGCTCGCATTACGGTCCGTTCGTAAGATTTCATTAGCCCGGCTCTCGAGGGGCCTCTTCTCTGGAAGTTTGCGCAGCGTAATTAGCAATGCAGGCGTCTGCACAGCAGGAGCCGTGTGCGGGCTGACTTCGTAGTGGCGATGCCGCTTCAAGCATTTGAGTGTGTTTTTGCCACGCATCGACGGAAAGTGGCCAAGACGTGGATGGCAGAGGGACTAAGTTCATTCGCACTCGACACATGCTAATGCATGCGTTAAATGGCGGCCCTAACCTCAGTTTCGGATATGCGCTTCGGGTAGGGTCAGCCTTGAAGGAATTCAAAAATGGAGGCGAGGCTGCATTAAAGGTACGCTAAATTTGACTTTTGAATGTTTTTTTAATGTGTGTGTGTGTGTGGCTTAGCAAGTACTAAGTGCCATCAACACCAGGGGCGTAATTAAACGCTCACAGAGCATTTTCTAGGATATAGTTGCAGCTCTCTCTGGTTCGGTTCCCGGCAATTAGGCCGGAGTTGTCGTCAGTGCAAGTAATGATTATGGCCAGGAAGAAGCAGAAGATCTTCGGGCCGGCACAAAGAGACAGAAACAGAGATGGAGCCAGGGCCGTGGCACAGGAGCACAGGACATGGCCAAGTGCCAATTAGCAAGCAAAATAGATTGTAGTAAATTTTAATGACATATACGGCAGCCGCTTGGACAAGGACATAGTTGCATCCGCCTTTGCCTCGGTCTCGGCCTGGTTTTTTGTGCCCGGTGGTGTCCCTTTTGAAGGAGCCGGCTGCTTGCAAGCAGTCAAAGGCGTTGACCGCTTGCTGCATCATTGAATTCAAAATACCCCAGCAGAGTGTCCCCTGTCCAGTGTGTCCCGCTCTGTGTGTGTGTGTCCCCGAGTCCACTTCAATTAAAAAGACTTTCACCCACTACAAAAACGAGGAAAATGAAGGAAAGAAAGCAGGAAAACACTTCCGCCTTACTTTACTTTACTTTTGTGTGCGCCTTGGTAAACGTTTGCAATTGCTTTGAAATTGCGCAGACGAGACGTGCAGTGTCCCCCATACAGAGTCAGGGGTGCCAGGGAAAAAAAAACTGTCTGCCTAGTGGCAACGGCAGCGGCAGCGCCGGGCATTGCAGCACGACATGACTTCCGCTGTGCCTCGGGTTGGAGGATTGCCCCAAAGTGAAATCAATTCAAAGCCTTGTCCTGGCTCCAGCTGCTTCTCAATTGCCTTTTCGGCCATCATCAACGCTTGCACATCGCCCTCATCATCAGGCACAATTCTCATCCCAATTCTCATTCCCTTGCCCATTCTCATCACTGCAATTGTGTCCAGGCGGAACGAGCCTCGCAGATCTTTGTTCTGCTTCGTGGATGTTTCTTCCAAATGGCGTCGCATCTATACCCCTTTTTACACTAGTGACTACGGACCAGCAAACGTATAGGAGTACATTCCATAATAATAACTAATATGAACTAAAACAAATCAAGAACTGCATAACAAATTACATTGCATGAAGTGATAGTCCGAGCATTCAAAGGCTCATCTAAAGGGGATTCCAAGAGACATTCCAATAGAGACAGTAGAGTGCAAAAAGTCATTGCTAGGTCTGTAGGGGTATGACACTTTCTTTTTGTGGCAGAGCTGTCTGTTACTTATTTCGGGGCATTACTGTTTGGTTTTTAAAGTATTAAAGTGACATTGTATAATTAGCATGGAACTGTTGAAGAACTCTTTTCCGCTCCTCGTCTGTGCTTTCATTATTGTTTTCCTGGCAATTGCTTATGCCGGCGATCAATTATCCAGCGTTGCAGCCAGGAGCAGGCCACCAAATGCACAGTTACAAGCAATAACGAGCCGGTACGAGAACCCTTGGCTTGGACTCCCAATTGGAGCCCTGTACATTGCCATGGATGATTGAAATGGGTTGAGTGAGGTGTGGGGTGTGGCGTGTGGGAGGTGTGTGTGTTCTGCTTTGGATTCTGGCCACAATCCTTCATTGTTGTTGCAGGCAGCACCCATTCGAGGCTGTCGGGCGGACGGTTATCCAGCCAGCCGGCAGCCAGAGCTGGCGATAAAATAAATTTGCATATGAATTGAGAATTAAGAACATTTTGCACATCGTGCAATCTCTCCCCTTACCCGCTCTCGGTTTCTCTTCTTTCTCCCACCAACTCGCATTCCTTTTTCTCTCTTCTCTGCTCTCCTGCTCTGCTCTGCTCTGCTCTGCATGTGGATGTGGATGTTGGCATTGTGGCTGCTGTTTGGCCTTTGAATTAGAATCCACACATACACATACACATGCACATATATATGTACATATCCCTCACTCGATCCCCCATTCCATCCACTCTCTCTTTCTCTCGTATCAGCTTCCGTATCAGCCAGAGTGTGAATGGCTTATTTCCTTGTTGCCTTTTTGGCCGCATTTCGGAATTTGCATTTGGCCTTTTTGGGGGCGAGCATTTTTATGCGCTTTTGCCCAGGGCCACAAAGCCAAATACACAGAGAAAAATAAAGGGAAACATTAGTAATTTCAAGTGTGTCCCTTGTAATATCCACATGAAGTATCTCTTGTTTTTTTTTTTCCAAGTGTAGAGAAAAGAGTAGAACAGGCCGAACAACAACAACAACTCGTTAGGCTATTGAAATTGAAAATGTTTGCCGACTGATGCGATAAGAATGAGCAGGAGGAGTGGGAGTGAAAGTAGAATTGGGTTGGGAGATTATAGTTTTGGGCATAACTTTGGTATTGGCCAGCAGCAGCAGCAGCAGCAGCCAACAGCATTTCGGGGGGAAAGTTGTGGGTCAAGTGTTGGCTGTCGGATAATTGGATTTCTAGAAGCAGCCTCCTGCAAATGCCTGCAATCAATCGATGCTCCACAGCAACACCTCGACAAAAACTCCAGATTGAGAAGGAGGAGGATGACCAATCCACAATCCCCAATCCCCACCCATTTTGTTGTGTAGAGGAGAGTATCGTAAAGCCCACGGCCTAAACCGCGTGTTAAACTTCCATTTCATTCCACGGACACAAATCGAATGCTTCAGTTGTTTCTCTTTTTTTTGTTTGTTTTTTTTTTTGGGATTTCGGGGCATTTGCAAAACTTTCGACATGCTCATAAAATTGCTCGTTTAACTCATTTAACTTTTTGTTGCTTGGGGTTCAAGTTGTATCTGTGTGTGTGTGTGTGTGTGTGTTGTGTGTGTGGGTGCTTTTTTTTTATTTTTAGAAAGTTTGCATAAATTGTAGCAACAAGAAAAGTTAATAATGCCAGCAGGCAACAGCTCGAGCTGGGGCGACAATGGAAATAATTCAATTAAAACACTTTCCAGTTTTGGGTTCTCCACGAGGCGCCACCCGTTCCACCACCCTCCGGTGCATGCATGTCAAGTTACAATTACGCCGAACCAAATTAACACGTAGAC